GTTTTATGTTAAAACTCATGGTTATATTTTTCCAGGAGAAAGTGGTGAATGATGCCAGCTAAATCTAAAGATGAAGATCCACATATAGAACATGGTGCCCAGATTGTGCTGGAATCAGCTATCTACGCCCAACCTTGGTGGCGTTGAGTGGGGAACAGTTCATCATCAGGTGAAAGTGCTTCAGCATCATCTTTGGCGGATCATCATGATAGTATGGTCATGAAATGGAGCTACGCAGTCACAAGCTAATGCTAGGCTGGATGGTGGAGCCAACTTCAACAAAGAATTGCAGACTACAGTAGGATCACAGTCTGGTAGTCACTTTTGCATTATCATTTCCCATGGGAAAATTTCATGTGAACTTCTTTTTCTGAATTGGAAATTTTCACCTGTAGTTAGTATAAAGTAATCATTCTGAGAAACCTTTCTTTACAAAAAAAAATTATTTATAATTATTTACTAAGCCTTTGTCTTCTTTGTGAGATTGAAGGACAGAATGCATCATCAATTTGGCATCCTGACCAAGACCTTTCAATCTGTGAAATAAAAGGAAATTTGAAGGATTTTATAATTGTGATAGTGCCTATGATCTAAACTGAATAGAACTTGATACAACTAAGACTAGCTAGCATTTGTTGGAGAAAAAAGAATTAAAGTAGGCCTTGGACACCTGTGGTTAGTTATTACAATCTTTCTCTTACTAGCTTCTTGTATTGTGGGCTAATTTGTATATGGAAAGCTAAATCTAGTTGAGAAAAAAAGGAACTGCATTAAGAAGGTGAGAATCCGTGTACTCTCCCTGTGTGTGTTTTGATTGGGGTAGGGTGGGGAACTAGAAGATGTGCAATTGCTATGGATTTTATCTTGATCTTATTTCAATTCTGTAGTATGGATTTGATTTCCAGAAAACGAGACTTGAAACCAAGTAAATTCACTTGTAAAATTCCCTGAACCATCATTGACACTCGCTGAGCAAACCCAAATTAACCTTTCCCTGATAGACATAGTGCTGAATCTGAAGAACCTGTATCAAATTTTCCCAGAGCAATCTACTTGATGTCAAAAGGCTCTCTTTAGTTCAGGAAATTTTATACAATTGAACTTTTGGAACTGCGTTGCAGTTTTCATTTAATTACAATTGAATTTTTGCTCTTTCATTGGCCTTCAACCTCACCAATTTGAAGAGTAGAGGCTACCCAGATGAAGAATTGGGTGGGCAAGAGAATAGTCGAACTACCCAAGAGTAAGGGAACTCAAAATTAGACTTTTGGAATTTAATCATAATTGGATTTTTGCTCTTTCCTTGACCTTCAACCTCACCAATTTGAAGAGTAGAGGCTACCCAGATGAGGAATTAGGTGAGCAAGAGAAGAGTAAAACTACACAAGAGCAAGGTAACTCAAAATTGGACTTTTGGAAACTGCATTGCAATTTTCATTTAATTACAATTGGATTTTTTCTCTTTCTTTGGCCTTCCATTTTTGTATTGCAGTTTCCGTTTATGCATTGCAGTTTTCACTTTTACATTGCAGTTTCCATTAGTACTTTGACCTAGGTTCCTCCATTTTGCTTCAATAAAATTAATTTTTGGTTTTGTAGCTATTTTTGTTTTTGTTTTGTTTTGTTTTATTTTTTTTAACGTAATTGATATCTACATTGTATTTTTGTTGCAGTTTCTATTTTTATTTGCAGTTTTTGTGTGAATATGTGTTGAAATTATTATTATTATTTTTTAAAACCGTTGATTCTTTATATAAATATTGTATAACTGAATAAATATTACAAAATCAAGTTCGGTATAGTGGTTTGTGAGTGTGTCACATCTCAGGATCGGCTTCGCCGTAGCATGATATTTTCCGCTTTGGTCCCCCCTCTCGACCCTCACGGTTTTGTTTTTGGGAGTTCACGAGCAACTTCCCAGTGGGTCACTCATCCTGAGATTGCTCTAGCCCCCAACTCGCTTAATTTCAAAGTTCTCATGACTCCAAAGCCAATGAGCTCCTAAAAGACCTCGTGTTAGATGGAGGCGGGTATGTACATATAAGGCACATCACCCCCTTTTCGTTGGTTGATGTAGGATGTTACAGAGTGAGCTTTCCTCCTTTGAGGGTCAAGGTTCGAGTTCCTTCAATGACACAAAATCTATTTTTTTAAAGGTGAATAAAGGGCAACGAAGTTGGTCTCCTGTAGACGGTGGCAGGCCGGTTACGGGCGACGGTGGTTGACCGGTGGCGAGTGGCTAGCGGTTGTTGGCCAGCATGCGGAGTTCGGCAGTGGCGGTTGGCTGGATATGGACATGTGGCATAAAATGCTTGCTTTAGAAGGAATGACATTTTGTGTAATTTTGATTTTTTTAAATAATATTTTTGTAAAATTAAGTACTAAATTTTGGTCTTTGGCCTTATGCCAATGAGACGAAATTGTGTTCCTATCTTCCAAATTAGTAAACTATATTGTGTTTTAAAACTAAAGGGCTAAAAATTTTCAAATTTTAAATTAAATTTTAAAAAAACTGTTTAAAACATTTTAATAATTAGAAAGTTCTTTAAAAACAAAAAAATTTAAGCCCTAGCACCCGAATAGCCCCACCACCACACAACCCAACCCTTCCCCATCACCACCAGCCACCCCCCGCCCCCAACCTATGGCCACCACTCCACCATTGTTCAAATATGATGTCCCCACCCAGGTGATGCATCCACTCCCAGCCATACTCACCCTGAGCTAACACCCCAAATCCACATTCGACCTCACAAATCCAATCAGCCCCAAGCCGTAGCCATCCCAACAAATTACCCAAATGCCAAAACCCCAAGGCGCAACTTCTCTTATCTTCTCCAACTGGGTTTGATTTGATTTCATGCTTGTGATTTTCACATATTCTCTGTGCAACCATGATGGTTATGCGATTGGAGTTTATAAACAGTAAACTCATATTGAAGAACTTTATTTTGTTATTGATTTTTTTTACCATGGTGGAGGAGAAATCAAGGTGGCAAGATTGGGAGGGAATGGTAAGCTTGGGTTGGGGGTGGTTGTTGCTGATGGGGAAGGGTTGGGTTGTGGTGGTGGGGGGCTATTTGGGTGTTGGGGGATTTATTTTTTCCCTCTTTTCTAATTTATTTTATTATTAAAATGTTTTAAAATTTTGAGAATTTTTAATAGCTAAGATTACTAAAATACCTACAACTAAAATTCATATGTCACGTCAACAAGTTAACGGTTTTACTGACAAAAAGAAACGAAATGAGGTAACGGGGGACTCAAAAATAAAGCACATGGGGCATATTGACTCAGTTTGAAATGTAGGGAGTAAAGTGAGATTTTCGGTGAAGCACAGGGACCATATCGATAATTAAGCCTTAATTTTATGAATTCTTAGGGGCGTTTGGTTCATAGAAAATGGGATTTGGGATTGATTTCCCATGCTTGGTAAGAGCACTTTCACCTATTCCTTTTTGCCATGGCAAAAAGGGGCTTAGGCTCCAAAACCACATCCATAAAGGAAAAATTGTCATGGCAAGAGTGGGCACCGTGAAACTGGGCAAGCCCAAAGACAAGACTTGTATGGACAAGTTAACGTCAACGACCAATCTAAATACCAAAAAAATTGAAAAAAAAAATTGAGAATTTTTTTTCAATAAATACCTAACCATGTTCTTCACTTCCCACACCAAAATCCATACAAATTACTCTCATCATATCTCATGTGAATAGTAACTACCATTGCCTTTTGCCATGTCAAATGGGAAGAAGTGCTCTAAGTCTAGGCATGGGAAATAATGCTGCTATTTCCACATTATCTTCCCACCCACTCTATAAATTTGGAAAAACACAATCCTATCTTTCCACCCACCATAATTCATAAAGTACCCTTTAATTATTAATTCAAGTAAATTCTCTTTTATGTTAAGATATCTATTAACTAATGATGCCATTTAAATTTAATCTAATGACTGAAAAGTTGGCATATCAATAAAATATTGGCACTATTATCATTTGGTTTGAAGAACCATCATTGTTGATCTATTATTTGAAGATTGTAACCAGTACTTTTTACAGGCATGATCTGAGGGTGATGAGGGGCACTCTATTGGAGGCAAGGTTTCCACTCCCACTTACGGTTGAGAGGATGATAAAGCTATTTAGTTAGATAGATGACCGAACCCATTGGTGTGAAGACACTTGCCTAATCCCTAATGACATAGCCTGATTTTTGTACTAGTTATTTATTCTCTCTTCAATAAAATACTATCGCATTTCTCTCCCAAAAAAAAAAAAATCATTCATCATTGACCAAAACAAGATCCGTTATTGACAAAAAGAACAATTCATTATTGTTAAATAACCTTGTTCTTGTTCCCATACTGGTGGATCCCTCCATCAGGTACATTTAACGAACCCATCGTTTGTACATCAATATCTTTCGATCAACATTTGGGAGAGACAAAACGGCCCAACCCACATGCATCATCTGGAAATTGTGTCGCCATCTCAATATCTATAGGAGAGAGAAAATCAAGGTTTCATTCAACAGTCTTGCGAAAAAGGTTGAAGAAGCTCTGTTTAAAGTCGGAAGTTTAAGATCTGTTTAAAGTTGACTCTTGAGCATGACGATTTCCTTTTCTCTCTTTTTTTTTGTGGTAAAAAACTTGAGGGTGAAGATTGATCTTCCAATGCCCAAATGACAAACCTATCAACAACTGGTTTTGCTAATTCAAAACGACAAAATTGGAATTGATCTTCAATCTTGAGCTTGAAGATATTTTGGATGAATGAAGATTGAACCTCAATTTCTTGAGAATTCATAGACATATCCGATAACAGGGGTTAGCAATAGCTGGTGCAAAAGCCAATGGGCCAACTTTTGCTTGTAAGTTAGATACTGTGACTCTTTGAACCTGAGCTCGATTCCTTTCAGGTGCATTAAAATATTTTTGCAAACACAAAATTATATAATTTTTAATATAAAATAAAGAAAAATTAGATTGCAATTCTCATGACTGAAAAATGTCTCTTTTTATTCCCATATATATCAACAACTACAAAATGAATGAATTAATCAGATGGTAAATTAAATATAATAAAACAAATTATTAAAATTCATAAAACCCCCGCTGTACTTTCCCTCTTTACATAAGCATGGCGGCAGCGAAAACCCCAATGGCCACGGATCCCACGAAGGAGAACCTGTTTAAAACGACACCGTTGGATGCAGGAGCTTCGGCGGGTGATCCTGAGACCGAAGAAGGGGGAGAGGTGGCCGGAGATTCAGGAGAAGACGATGGGGGAGAAGGTGGAGAGTCTGCGACCGGAGATGTAGAAGGAGCAGCCGAGGGTGGAGTGCCCGAAGGAGAAGGTGAGGTACTCAAAGGAGAAGGTGAAGAAGCGGGTGGAGTGCTCAAAGGAGAAGGGGCAGAGGCAGGGGACTTGGCTGGGGAAGATGCGGGGGATTGTGCCCTTGTTGAGGCCACCAAGAGGGCAGCCATTAGCACCAAAACGACAGCGTTGGATCGAGCCATTGTAGAAGAGCGAATGAAGACAGAGAAAGTGATAGGGTTTAACAGACAGGCAGATCAAGATTAAGAAGCGAAGGATGGGTTTAAGGAGAGAAGGGAGAGGGCTTTTTATAGGTGGAGGGCTAAGGAGAGTTTGGTGAATAGATCACCGTCGACTTTGAGAAATTTCTAAAGGGGTTTGGACGGTGCAGATTTTGTGGTTGGGATGGAAGGAAATATTATACGTAGCAAGTTGGACTTGGTTAGAAACGCGTGACCAGAACGCGGTTGTTGTATTGGCTGGTTTTTAGTGGCTGTTAGATGTAAGGTGTTGCTGCATGAAAAAGGACTATAGTTCAATCCAAGAAGGTTTCGCACGAAAACTTAGAAGCCAAGTCAAGAAAACCAGTTCCAGCGAAGAATATGATTGTGACTAGCCTGGGGACAACACCACACCTTTGTGACTAAGTCACTTTTGCATCGTTAGCTTAACACCTATAACTCAATTTTCTTATTCAAAACAATATTATTTCCATGAATTGCTCTAAAATAATCAAGTTAATGAAGAGTGACTATTTGACAACGAACTTAGTTATTTCCATGTATCCTCTTGTTTTCATTTTATAGTAAATTTAACTTATATCCTTCAAATTCAATTTGTCATATATGTAATCCTTCACCTTTTTGTTCCTATATATAATACCCAATTTGTATAAGTAAAAACCCATTACTAGGATTTAACTCAGCAAATTGTTGGCTGCGCAAATCTCACGGCCTGGTGTTCCGGGCCGAGAGGGTGTGCGTTAACACGTGACGTCCTTCTTTTGGATGCGGTGCGGTTGTGCGCGGGCGTGCCAGCACGGTCTACCGTGCGTCGAGATGGTGATGAGGTTTGGGTAGAAGATAGTTAAATGATGCGCCTGTTTTGAGTTCGACTCCTAATCAAACGATTGTGGCCGAGAGAGGAACTGATCTCTGCCGTCAGGTTCACGGCCTGAGCTACAAGGCCGTTTAGTGGTGGTGTTGGTGGCGGGTTTTAGGCGGTGCTTCAGCGCGTTGCTCAGATAGCGACGATCGTATGATATATGAGATGAATGAGACGATAACATAGATGGTGCTCCGGCGCCTTGAAAATCAAGGGTCGTATGATATATTGATGAATGGATTTTCCTTACAATCTACCACTACTCCTAGAAAAGCAAATAAAGGTATTGAAAGTGCATTACAGGAAAATATAATTTGTTCCGTGGGAGGCTTTTGGTTTGGTGTTTGAACCCTTTGAATGTAGTCTTCAGCTTAGTATTTATAGGGGAGTCCTGGAGGGACAATAGAGGCTGAAAAGATCTGCGTGGTGGAGCCTGATCGGGGCAAGTGGGTGGTCAAATCGGCATTTGGGATCGTGAAGCATGGTGGTGTGACCCTCATAAATCCCGGTAAATCTCGGCCACCGCCCTGATGGTGGGTTCTGCCCCCTTGGCCGTGGGAACACATTTAATGTCCTGGTCTGGTGGTTGGTGATCTAACCTCAAGTTGTAAGAATACTTGTGGGAATGTTTGCGCCTAACCACTCTGATTTCCATCACCAAATCCTGACTTCAGTCACTTCCCTTCTTCCTTCGTGCATTAAATGCTTTTTGCGACTAGTGGGTTTGCTGCGATAGTCAGAGGCATTACTTCATTAAATGGGGCGTGGGACCCTGAGGCCACGTGGCGATTTGACCACAGTATCTTCGGCTGTGTCTTTTACGGCCTTCGGCTTCGGCCTATAATACCGCGGTCGCGAGGCCGAGAGGATTCTGC